CTCTCTCTCTCTCTCTTAGTCCACCCCCTCAGGTACTGCACTCCAGGGCCTGCTTTACGCAGCACACTGCCAGCCAATCCTAGGAGTTGTTACAAAGATATTCCAGGTTGCTTGGTGACCTCTCCAGCAGCGTTCACCATCATCATATGCTAATTGGGTGAGCCTTCCACGCTACTGATTCCCTAGGTGGTCCCCACCTCCAGGAGCTCCTGAATCGGGACAGGTTCAGCTGCACCAGACTGGGGCACAGAAATTTATGGGGTGGGGTGCCTGGGGCTGATATCCAGAAAGTTCTGGGCCGGGGCTATGTACCACGCCGAGCCTACCGCTCCTCAGCAGGCCGCGGCAGAATTGAGCTGTGGGACATGGATGCCACTTCCGTTGCATATCAAAATGCCCCCATACACATAAACACGTGTATGGTTGCCAATATACATGAACAAACACAGAAAAGCTATTTAGAGCTGTGGAATATACATGTCTCGTTTCAATTCTAATTCCGTCAAAATTGGAACGATACAGAGAAGATTAGCATGGGCCCTACACAAGAAAAGAAAAAAAAAAGTAATTGAATTTTTTGCATTGACCAATGCTTAGGCTTTCTTTTATGTACGCATGGGCAGCAGTTGTGAAGCAGCGAGGTTCAAACTCTTATTCGCATGCACACATTCGGCAAAGGTACATACAGAAACACAAAGTTCGACAAGATCGCAATCGATTACATAATCGAGCAAAGACAGAGAGAAAGCTTATGCTCCTCAGGGTTTCGGTCAGCTAGAGCAATTAATGAATTCAATCCCACCGGGCGATGGCAGACGATCAACTAAAGGTGCACACAGCAGGATTGAATTCATTGATTGCTCTAGCTTACTGAAACCTCACGGAGCATAAGTTTTCTTTCCTTCTTTGCTCGATTATGTAATCAATCACTTATCTTACTTTGCATTCTACCCACTGTAATAGAAGACTCTGTTTGCTGGTTTCTGTGCAATTCTGCTCATCTCTTTCTTCGTTTTACCCACTGTAATAGAAGACGACAGAGCAGAGAATGGGGTACACAAACTGTTCTGTTTGCTGGTTTCTGTGCAATTCTGTTCTTCTCTTTCTTCNCCCACTGTAATAGAAGACGACAGAGCAGAGAATGGGGTACACAAACTGTTCTGTTTGCTGGTTTCTGTGCAATTCTGTTCTTCTCTTTCTTCTTTGGGCTGTTTTAATGGTTTCCTTTTCTTTCAGCTCGTTCTTCATATTGTCCCTCTCAGGTGCACGGCTCGCCACATGGGTGTGGTTCAGAGGGAGTTGCCCACACCCCCCTGCCACAACAGCACACACCTTCACATTGCAAAAAAGATAACAGAGTAAGGGGGGAGACGGGATACGGAGAGACTGGGGAAAGACGGAGGAAGGGAAGGCAAACGGAGAGCCAGGAGTGTGCACTAGAGGTTGCAATATAGAGAAAGATAAACGAAGACTCAAGGAACAGAGGGAGACAGGACAAGGAGAGACTGCGGAAAGACGGAGCAAGGCAAGGCAAAGGGAGAGCCGGGAGTGTGCACCGGAGATCGCAATATAGAGAAATGCAATGAATTGCAGTGTTGCCCTGCAGGCTGTACTTCACTTAGGGCGTTCTAGCGGTTTTCGAGTGCTGCGGGGTTTGATCCCACGACCTGTCCCTTAGTGGGACTTTTCCTTGCTGATGTAGCTTGTAGGTCGTTTTTGTCCTTTTCTGCACTTCTGGAAACCGGGAGGCCCGTAGGCCTTTTCTTTTGATAGATTCCCATTTTGTCAGTTTCTGGTCTAGATCCATGTGGACTGAATGCTGTAGCTGTTCAGGCTGTCGTACGTCTAGGTCGAAGTCGAGTAGAAGTAGGCCGAGGTCGATGTTGGTAGGGCTTGTTCGTGGGGTTTTTTGGGGGTCATTTTTTGGGAAGTGGGACGAGGGGTCTTGGTGAACGGGCTGCGCTAAAATTAGCGCTGATGCTCTTCTTCTCTGTGCTGCTGCATCCGCCATAGCTGGGGCGCCAGAGCACTTGGCGCGCAGCGCCTGCTGGGGTACATCTGGGCGCTGGATACTACTACTGCTACTGCTGTTCAGGAGGTTTGGAGAAGGCCGCTACTCCTCAAGCGGATGTTTGGTCCTTGCTGCCATATCAAGGCAGCTGCATCATCTTCTTCATCGAAGTTCATATTCTCCTTCATGGTGGTGATGGGTGTTGCTGACTGGGCTTCTCACCTGTGTCAGAACAGCGCCTGCAGCTACAGACACTGGGAGGTTGGGGCGCTAGTAGAGTAGTGCGCCATACCTGTGTGTTTATGAGTTGGTGGACGGGACAGGAGGAGAACTTTTCTTGATACTCCGTTGAAGTTTCTGTTGGGGGTTAATCGAAGGAGGAACTAAATTCGTGGTTGAGATTCTTCGAGGATGTACTCGATTGAGGTGGAGGCAAGCAAGGGGATTAATAAACAATTGATCGAAAACTGTTTCTCTCAATTCCGATTTTGGTTTTGGCCTCCGCTGTGCATGATCTCTCTCCATGGCTACGATGTGAATATGCTCTCTCCAGTCTGCCTGTCATTGCAGATGCGTATGGCAACATTTGAATGTGGTTTTGGATTGTAAAACCATCGAGCACATAACAGAAAGATAAATGAATCGTCAAGTGATAGACGGAGACATACATGGTTTGGGTAAGATGGGTGGTGATGTGGAAGACCTACCTAGCTGTGATTTATCAGCACAACCGAGAAACGGCAAGTCCGCTGTGGCCGCAACAAATACATATTAACTAAACGAGCCGCTTCGCAAAACGAATTCAGAGAAAATAGTTTAGTGTGAGGTGCCTACGGCCTCGTTTTCCACAGCAGCACGTCGCATGCTGCAAAAGAGAGAATAACAGTGGACAGGGTAAGGAGAGACAAGACAGAAAAAAAGACAACAGCGAGGGAAAGTAAGGAATGTGCATTAGAGATGACAACAACTCTTATTAGTTGGGGCACGAGCTCTCGCCATTATGTTGTTTAGCTAAGAGAGTCCCAGTTTCCTGTTCCGCTCGGGCACCTGCCCTTTGGGCACCCATGCGCGGTGGATTTTGCGGTAGCATTGACAGGACTCGCTCCTCCCAAGTGTTGTGTGTTAATTCCTCCTCCCCCAACAAAATCTGAGAGGGAATTCAGGGAAAGGCAAGCTGACAGTCAATCCTCCTATCAGGAGTAATCAATGCTGGTCAGGGTTCCTTCGGCCATACGGAAGGAGCATGAGGGTGTTCTATGTTGTATTCGATTTTGACTTGCCGGGGGAATAGTAACCGGACTGACGCTCCCCAGAATGGATATGGAGCCAGGACCATAAGGACCTGTTCAAACAAACAAAAACAAAAAACAAAAAAAAAAAACAAAAAAAAAAAAAACATCAACAAACTGCAAATACCAAGCAGCAGATTCAGACTCGAAACATGAACAAAAAATGAAACTCAGAAGTCTGTCCTTGACAACGAAGGGGACACAAGCAACACGGATTTTAGTGAATGTACTTCCTAGAGTACGGCGCTCCTGTTGTGGCCCGTACGTTCACTAAAATCGTGGCGCGTTAACGGCCATGACTCTAGGAAGTACTGCAGTGGTTTAAGCACAGGAAGGGAAACTAGACAAAACCTAGCAGGCTGTGACACTTTCATCAGACTTTCACCGATTCATCAGTATATATTATCTACCACATGGAAAGGAACATGAGGGATGTGACAGGTGATGACATGCAAGACCAAACTCAAGAATTTCAAACGCAACAAGTAGGCTGCAACATCCGGCACTGAACATGCCCACGATAGAGTCAGAATATATGGCAACACAAACGGTGTGTCAGCTGCAACGCCCTGACAAAATAATAACTGACGATGCAGATGAGCATCCACTCTTTACGATGCCTTGGACCACAAAATTGGCTTGTGATGTCTACGGCAAAGAGTGAACACAATTATTATGAAAGGAGAAGCCGCCATCTGCACATACAGCTGCAGAAGACATGCTTCTAACAGGCGATGAGATTGTCTGACAAACAGTAATCACCCTTGCAGGGGGACACTGTTGAAACCCCGAGGGTATACGGTGGTCAGGCACCAAACCCACGACCCTTCAGGAGGGGTAGCTGCACATTTGAACAGTTCACGGTTGCGATCAGCATTCAGATAAAAGTTTGAGATCTATACATTTGAGAGGCCAGACAGTGAAGATAAAAGGCGGTTGGCTTGCCATGGAGTGGTAGAGATGACAGTGATGGGAGTGATAAGTTTGGGATGAGTAGCACGAACGCCAGCGTTGTTGCAGCTGGAAGTGTGCAGAAATAACTCTGCTCGGCGTATGTGCAACCAGAAGGTATAATAGCATATAATAGCGTAAATCACCCCAGGAGCAGAGAGGGCATCCATTCCCGGGTGAATGGGGCTCTGATCAATGCCCCCTACCACCCCGGCAGCGCGGTAAGCTGCGTCACCTTTGTAACCAGTACCATGCCTCATACAGACATGTGTTCCAGTCATGATTTGCAGCCCCAGTCCACCCTGCTGTTAGTCTATCGCGCATAGCGATGATGAGAGGAAGAATGAGGGGGGTAACCTTAAAGGCGATCATAAGGAGGAGAGGTAGATGTGCGTGCTATGCCACCACAAGGGAATCCCCATTCAAATCCCTTTTCCTGATTCACACCTTGAATTTCTGACATGATGGGTAAACCATTTCAAAATCCAGGAGATCCACTTGGATCTTAAGAAGACATGACCAAGAAGAAATGCGTGCTGAGAAGAAAGGTAACACCATGGTCCAGGGTTTAAGGCCCGTCGGCCCAGTGCGGGGAAGCTGTCGACGTCCTTGGCAGGTGGCACTCGCCACAAAGTTTTCCAACCGATCGATGGCTCTGCTTATATGCAAAATATGCCTCCACCTGTGAGTGTGCTCTGAGCCACCACTGCCCTAGACGCTGGGCACATCAGGACTACTTATTCTGTCGGGTAGGAGGTGTCCAACCATCACAAGGAACTGCTGTGTACAAGGGTTTATGTCAAGCAGGACCTCCTGCAGGGGTGAGCGAGCAGGAGTACTGCACACTTGAGTCCTTGGGTCGGGAGGTAACTGTACTCACCATGCAAGGAGGATCGGCAGGAATCTGCCTGCGCCCTTGCAGTGACCGCCACCAGAAAAGATCTGGGCACCTGAAGGAAAACCGAAGGGTCAGCCACATAAACAAACCGAGGACAATGAAACAGTTAGTTTCACTCATTTCACTCAAGTCGATTCCCGTCAATGATAGCACCACACGTGACAGACAAAGAACTCTCGATTGTGCACTTGTAATATCGGAAATGTATATTGATGTTGACGTTGACATATATGCTCAATCCACCATAGAAAAGAGTAGTGCCCTTGTACTTCTTATCCTGCACAAGTACATATAGGACAAGAAAACAAAAACGGTATGATGACATAATCACAAGCTTTGTAAAGCTTATCCACAGCCGATCACGAGTATGACCCCTGCCAGTACAGGTCCGATCCTACCATCAATCCACTAGAGCATAGAACTACCGTCTTCACCCCAATAGAACGCCCGGTCATTATCGCTGCATCTGGACAGAAAATGGCCCCAAATACGGCTATAATGACCGGGCGTTAGCTTATCCAGCGGATCATGAGTATGACCCCTGCCAGTACTGGACCGATCCTACCATCAATCCACACTAGAGCATAGAGTTACCGTCTTCACCCGAATAGAAGACGCCCGGTCATTATCGCTGCATCTGGACAGAAAATGGCCCCAAATACGGCTATAATGACCGGGCGTTAGCTTATCCAGCTGATCATGAGTATGACCCCTACCAGTACAGGACCGATCCTACCATCAATCCACACTAGAGCATAGAGCTACCGTCTTCACCCGAATAGAAGACGCCCGGTCATTATCGCTGCATCTGGACAGAAAATGGCCCCAAATACCGCTATAATGACCGGGCGTTATATTCGGGTGAAGACGGTAGCGAGACTGGAACGTGTGTTATCAACTGGAACGTGTGCCATTAACTGTCACCACAGCAACACCTCTTCCACCCACCCAGACGAGTAAATAAAAAACAATTGAAAGTGTTTTGCCTTAGAATCTTTTATAGCAGAACATGAAGCACACTGAACCCGTACCGTTGTATCGACTTCTTTTCCTTGTGCGGTTTTCTTTGCGTTCCTTACTTCGGCTTATCTGTGGTTTCTCTTTTTTTTTATTTCTTGCAGCTCCCCTTATGCTATGCCTCTCAGGTACGAGGCTCGCCGACATCCCCTGATGTCGTTGAGCACGAGCTGCCCACATCCCCATGCGTGTGCTGCCATGTTCTCTATGCACGCCTCCACAAAAGAAAGTGTGACTGTGGCAGACTGTTTTATCAGACTTTCACCGGTTACCGTCTTCACCCGAATAGAATGCCTGGTCATTATCGCTGTATGTAGACTGAAAATTGCACCAAATACGGCTATAACGACCGGGCATTCTATTCGGGTGAAGACGCTAGTGGGGGGGGGGGGGGGGGGGGGGGGGGGGGGGGGATATTGTCTCGTTCACTATACACCACACCGCAAGAAACGCATGACTGTGTGTGTGCTGTCGTATTCGCTATACACTCAAAACAGCACGACTGTGCCAGACTAATTCGTCGGACTTTCACCGACTCATCTGGAGGTTGAATCTGGACAGACACTCTGCCCAGGATGCATTTGACTGATAAATAAGGGGAAGGGGGGGGCGGGGGGGCGTGTTTGTGAGCATGACTGTGTGTGTGCTGTCGTCTTCGCTATACACTCAAAAAAGCACGACCGTCCCAGACTAATTCGTCGGACTTTAACCGACTCATCGGGAGGTTGAGCCTGGATGGACAGTCTGCCCAGGATGCATTTGACTGATGAATAAGGACTCACCACATCGCCCAGAGTTAGCGATACCCCTGAGAAAACTGGTCGAATTCACTCATACCAACCTTGCAATCCTAGCAGACTGTGTGTGTGTGTGTTTGTGCCTATGTGTCGATACCGCCCGCCAGTGCGCACAATATGACCCATCCCACACGGTACCACCAACCGCCAGTGCACACAATATGACCCATCCCACACGGTACCACCTAGTGGTACCACATGGTGCCCCACGCAACCCACATAGGGCTGTCTGTAGCCAAGTTCACTATACAGAACTCCAGAAAAAGCAGCATGACGGTGCCAGACTGTTTCACTGGACTTTCACCGACACACAAGACCGCCAGTGCACACAATATGACCCATCCCACACGGTACCACCCAGTGGTACCACATGGTACCCCACGCAACCCACATAGGGCTGTCTGTAGCCAAGTTCACTATACAGAACTCCAGAAAAAGCAGCATGACGGTGCCAGACTGTTTCATCGGGGACTTTCACCGACACACAAGAGGTCGAACCTCGACACTCTGCCCATCAGCATGTGCATTTGACTGATAGATAAGGACTCACCACTTTGCCGAAAGTTGGCGGTACCCCTGAAAAAAGTGGTAGACTCGTGCTGTGCCCGTGTGTTGGTACCATCCAGAGCACGTAATATGACTCATCCCACATGCTACCACCCAATCCACACAGTCTCAGCCACAATGCATAAGTGGTAGACTCGTGCTGTGCCCGTGTGTTGGTACCATCCAGTGCACATAATATGACTCACCCCACATGCTACCACCCAACCCACACAGTCTCACCCACAATGCATACCACCCAACCCACACAGTCTCACCCACAATGCATACCACCCAATCCACACAGTCTCACCTACAATGCAAAAAGTTGTAGACTCGTGCTGCGCCCGTGTGTTGGTACCATCCAGTGCACATAATATGACTCATCCCACATGCTACCACCCAACCCACACAGTCTCATCCACAATGCATAATACAACCCAGCCCGCATAGTACCACCTACATTCTTCCCCCAAACATACAGCATATGCATTGTATTTGAGTTTTCAAAATTTTCAAAAAAAACAACCAAAAAAAACAAAAGCATATGCGTTGTATTTAAGAATAGAACGCATACGCATTGTATCCGAATAGAACGCCCCCTATGTGTTGTGTTCGTTTACAAAGCACATGCATTATGTTCGGGGGAAGATGCTAGCCGTGCATAGCGGGCCATGTGAGTGTAGTGTACGACGTGGGTAGGTGCCGAAGCAGCCAACAACTGCTTACTTGGTCTCACCCTACAGCCGACGGATTCGTACCGCTCAGTATGCGATGTGCTCTTTGGAGTCCATTGAATTTCTCCTTCTGTGTCCGCATGAGTGTTTGTTCGTAATTTTTTTTTATTTTTTATTTATTTATTTTTTTTGTGGCCATGAGAGTGTCTGTGCCATGTGTTCTTTTGTGCCCATGCCTGTGTTAGAACCATCCGTACCTGGCCGGAATCCTGGCCAGAATCTTCCACAACTGTTTTTTTTATATGTTTTCAAATTCAGTCTGTATATGGGACGCTGGACCCGTTTTCCAGCAGGTGATGCTCCCCACCAATAGATGAGAGAGTCTCTCCCCAAGTGCTAGTGGTGTCTGCTCTTATCAGCACCACTAACATTAGTGGGGGTGTTTTAACCAAAAAAAAAAAAAAAAAAAAAAAAAAAAAAAAAAATCCATACTATCCACCCCACATTACATGCCTCGCCCCACATGCTACCACCCAGTCCACATGCCACCACCCAACCCACCCACGGCACACAATAGCACCCATAAAACCAACCGCCATACTACCCCCCAGCGATGCCAAGGGCGCATAATTTTGGCTCTGTGTGCTTTAGACGATTTTCACCACAACAGCCCCTTTCTACCCCCCCCAGATGAGTAGACCCCAAATCGAAGCCGCCCGACCCCTCTATACTTGTGAGATGAGATGAGTCCTAAAGACATTGATGGAAAAAAAAAAAAAAAAAAAAAAGGCATTGATGACGACACATGTCTTCTGACATGCCAGCAGGAATCAGGCTGGCTGACGTTCGCAGGGATTTATACGCATTTAAGCATCATGGCACGTCAAGGCCACAACGGCAGATTGTTGGTCAAGTAATAACGGGGGGGAGGTGGAGAAGGGGGGGGGGGGGGGGGATGAGTGCAAGACAAAGGGTCAAACAGTTTTCATGACAGAGGCTGGCAGTGTGACCATCCATTCTTTCATAGCGTTCTGAGCAGAGCAGAGATTGTAGAGTGTGCATGCTCATCATCCTCTGGCTGTGGGTGTGTGGGGAGACACAACGGCGTGACAGGGATGGTCACACTATCAAAGGATGCATCATCCTTTCATAGTGTGACCATCCCTGGTAGAAAAAGAACGGCATGGCAGTCCCCATGAGAGGATGATGGCACTGCCACCATCCTCTGCAGAGTCACCAAGTGGCAGCATCCCCTGGCACTGTGACCATCCTCTGGACAGGCCCCTTCACTGTCCCTGGTAGAATCTGTCCCATGTCCACAGAGTCGAGGGATGATGCCTGGTCATGTATGATGCCTGGTCATGTACACGGGAGGGAGGGGGGGGAGGTCAGCCGGACTGTTATCCAGAGGCTGTAAAAGCTTCCCAAGTGCACATCTACATAATTGTTCCCGAGTAATCAGCCAGCCAGCGCGAGTAGGATTCTGCCACTTCGATAGAAAAAGAGTTAATATTCCTCACCGTGTGCACCCTACCTTCATTGTCCCATAAGGGTCCATGAATCATCGGCAAAAGGAAACAGCACTGAAATGACCTGAACAGTGCAGAATGTACGCACGGATATTCAGATCCATATCCGGTGTGTAAATCTGTGCAGCGGGCAGCAGTCGAATTGCAATCATCTTCCCCATAAATGCATAGACAGGAGTGTGTGTGTGTGTGTGTAAGTGTGTTTTAAAAACCCCGAACTCTCTCTCTCTCTCTCTCTCTCTCTCTCTCTCTCTCTCTCTCTCTCTCTCTCTCTCTCTCTCTCTCTCTCTCCATCCACGACTCATTCCATCCACGATTCATCATTAACCATCCATAGAACAAAGAAAAGTATCGATACGCAAGATAGTAGATAGTAAGAGATTCAAGGTTGACCAGGTTTATGTGGTTAAGCGCAGGTTTGTGTGGTTAAGCGCCAAGTGCTCAAACACCCGTCTGCCGCCGAAGTGGCACACTTGCACATATATTGTCACACTGGCACACTTGCACATATATATCGTCACACACACATATATATATATATATATATAGTCCATGTGTGTGCGTGTGTGTGTGTGTGTGTTGTCATGTTCGATGAGTGTACACAGAAAAAGTACAACTGTACCAGACTTTCGTCGGATTTTCACCGAGTCCTCAGTATGTGTGTGTGTGTGTGTGTATGTGTGTGTGCATTGTTCGTGCTGGGTGTACTTTTCTTTTTTGTGTTCAGTGGCTGTGTGTGTTCGTATCATCTGGTCCAAATCGTAAGTGACCAACCCCACATGGAGGCACCCACCCAGCGCACATAGTATATCGTTCCCCCCCCCACCACCACCACCACATACTGTAATACCACCCAGCCCACAAAACATCGCCTCGCAGTGCCAAGGGTGAACTTCTTCTGCCTAACTTTGGCTGCTGCAGCTCTCTCTCTCTCTCTCTCTCTCTCTCTCTCTCTCTCTCTCTCTCTCTCTCTCTCTCTCTC